TGGTGGGGGGGCGCTAGCTGCCCCCCCCCCCCAGCAGACAGAGAGACGGAGAGCAAAGCCACGGAGCACGCCCGCAGCGGGACAGCCCAAGCGCGCCTGGGCTGTCCCGCTGCGGGCATGCTCCAAGGCTTTGCTCCTGTCCCCCGGTCTGCTGGGGGGGGTCCAGCAGCTTTGCTGGATCCCCCCAGCAGACCAGGGAGACAGGGAGAAGCTTTTCTCGCCCCGGAGGACACGGGTGGCGACTTGCCACCCGTGAGCTCCAGGGCAAGAAAAGCCCCATTCATAAGTCGGGGACTGCCTGTATACTGAAGCTATGTCTACACTGTCCTACACTCTGTGTATAGGGGTGTGAACAGCAGTGCATACTGGAGTGCTGCACCAAAACTCCCTTGGGCGGATACTGTGGGTATGAACTAAAAGTTTCTTTCTTTGTATCCACATTAGGGCAAGGAGCACTCCAGCCGACCAGACCAGGTTCTGTCCTAGTGGGCCTGACCCAGGTGCATAGAAGGCAGGGATGCTCCAGCCATGCAGAGCAGTCGTGCTCTGTGGTGGGAGGGGGCTGCTCCAGCCGCTGCCACCGCCACTCCCTGACCGGGCTTCTTTTATTTGGTTAACCAGTTAACAAATTAAATGCGATTTTACATCCTTAATTCACATAGTCCTCTTCAAACAGGACTATGTTAACACACACCAAGGACCTTTTAAGTTGGTGTCAACAGCATTCATATGTAGGAACCACAGCACTGATATGCACTGCTGTTCACACCCTGGTAGTTCGAACTATGAGCAGTACAGACAAGCCATTACAAGAGCCATGTCATGCCATGTGATTATGAAGGGAAATGAGAATAAGGTATGGCTGGTATGCTTTACAAAAATACATTTATTTTGAAGCAATTTTGCACTACATATTTAGGCATTCACCTAATGGGCAGCTCAGCAACTTATAACCATCACTTATATTTTGTGATGTGCTACCGTTTTTGTACTTTAACTGTCACAGCAATCAAAGATCATTTTGCATGTTTTAAAAAGCCAACTTCAACAAAACACATTGCTTATAGACATACATCTATATTTTTAAGCTACCAATAAGAAAACAGCAAGCCAAGTACCGAAGAAGCACAAGATGCTTTTATTAAACCCATCTGATTACTAGACTAGAGCTGCTTTATGTAAAAATAAAGATAACAAATTAAGATTTATTTCTACAAAGCCTATGTCCATTAAACTGCCATACTTATAAAACTTTAATATTAAACAGGCTTAACTGGATTTCGGCTAGTCATATTTTCTTGTGGCAAAATGTCAAGCAGAATTTGGCAGCAAAGAACAAGATTGAGATATATAAAGTGTATTCAGTTTGATTTCTAGAAGAAGCTATAGAAGAAGAAACTATCATCATATTCAGAATGCTCTTTGGCAGCCTCAAGGCAGGTGTTAAGGTGGCAGGGATAAGGAGCAATGTTTGATGCTGAAGAACTAAAGACATTTTCATCTAGTTTACACTTGTTTTATATTTAAGACCATGATTGCAAAAACTTATCGCACAGATATGCATGAAATTTCCCTCTTCCTTTTCTCTTAAGAAAACTTTGCCTTACTGAAATTTCTTCCAATAATTGGGTTGCTAGCATTTCATCTTCCATCAGATGAAGCCACTGCCAGACTCAAAGTATTTAGAAAAATTTCCATGCTTAGCCATACAACACAGCTACTGGCGACTGAACAGTAAGTGTCAAATTCTTAGAACTACTGGTTTAAATGTAGTAAGACCTAAAGTAGATGCTGTATGTTACACATGTCTTAGAATGTTACAAGTACTATCTACTCTTAACATAGGCAAAATTAAGTGCCAATACAAATTTATAGCTAACCTTTACATAGAAATATAATACCTCTCACAGAACTGGAACAGACCTTGAGAGGTCATTGAGTCCAGTCCCCTGCCCTCATGAAAAGACTCCCCGCATCCACTGTTTAAACTTGAAAGGTTTGTGATTACATTCCCACCACCAATATGATGCTTTGATCACAAAAGCTGTTTGATAGAGTGCCTCCCTTCCAGCAATAACAAACATTTTATGCCTCAAAGGAAAGCCACCTCACTCAATGGCTATATACATTCTTCTAATTGGAACATTTAAATTACACAAGGAATTTAAAAAGTACTTTAATACTTCAAAGTCTCAACTGACATGATGGGCAAATCTAATCTTTGGGGTCTTCAAGTATGTGTAAGTGCAGAAAAGAAACAGCTTCATTTATGGATCAAAATCAAAGGTATAAACATACACAGCAGCAGTCTGTAGTTCTTTGGGCAAATTCTGTATTTCTTTCTTTGAGTTGTGTTACACACAGCATTTTAAAATGCTGCTACTTTAAAAAAAGCTTAGTGGCACGAATTTTATGATATTCCATGTTTCCTACAACTCTAATTGGCCTGCTTCAATGCATATATTGGGATGGTAAAGGCTGTTTTCCCTGCTCATAACTAAAACTTAAAGACAACAATTATTTAAAAATGGACTAATTCAGTCACATATATGTTGTTTTACACTGAGCAAGTAACTGGAATATGTTGTATTCTACTGTAACTTTTTCTCAGAGATTTAACCTAGTCTCCATAGGGAAGGACAGGAAGTTCAGCCACCCCACTTCTAGACGACTATGGATTCAGTGGAATAGAGTAGTATCTTCCAATGTAGGAGGCTGGAATCTCTTCAGAACATGTTCTGACCCAATTTTAACACAGACAGAATCTTTCATCAGATGTCACTCACCACAAACAAAAGAAACATAGAAACAAGTTCAACACCACCTTAATTTAAGGTATAAGAGTAGGGCAGCTGCAAAAGTATAATAAAGATTGCCTTGAACAAAATGTTTTCAGAACTAGATGTCTAATGTCTCAGTCATTGCAGCACAGATAGTTGTTCTGTAGTACAAGCAATGAAGATGATTGCTTCTGCACATTATATAGCAGAACAGTACACCCTTTACCCTTCAACTGATAAGTTGCTTAGTGATTAATTTCCATTTAGGCTATGTCTAGACTACACTCTATTTTCAAAATTCTGTGAATTTGCATATTTTCTTCCAATCTCACTTTCGAAAGCAGATCTTTTGAAAGTAAAAGTAATCTGGATGCAGTTTTTTTTTTTTTTTGAAAACCCCCTTTCAAAAAATTTTTTTATTTATTTATTTTTTTTAAGGAAAAGATGTTTGTTTTTTTCGAAAAAGGGTTTCCCCCTGAAAAACTGTGCCCAGACTACTTTCACTTTTGAAAGTGAAATCGGAAGATATGCAAATTCCCGGGGAATTTGCATCTTTTCGAAAATAGAGCGTAGTTTAGACGAATCCAGAGTTTCAACTGCATGATTAGAAATAGGCACAAGACCTGCTTTTCCTTTTTAACCATGTGCTCCTTTCCTAGCTGTAAGGAATCCTACACTTCAGATCTGAAAGCAATAGGAAACAAGGGATTGTCAAAGACAGGGGTGGATAGTCCCATTTTATGAGCACACAGTCTTAAGTCTGAGAGCCCTCACACCATATCTATTTCAAATGGTGAAACAAAAAACAGGACTATGTAGCACTTTCAAGACTAACAAGGTGGTATATTAGGTGATGAGCTTTCATGGGCCCGACCCACTTCCTCAGATCAAATAGTGGAAGAAAATTGTCACAACTCCATATACCAATTTTCTTCCACTATTTGATCTGAGGAAGTGGGTCGGGCCCATGAAAGCTCATCACCTAATATACCACCTTGTTAGTCTTGAAAGTGCTACATAGTCCTGTTTTTTGTTTCACCATTTGAAATAGATATACCAAGCAAATACTTTATGGTAAGGGAAACTAAGGGACACGGTCAACAGGTTTTTCCCTTATCTGAATCTGTTCAGATATACAGCATGCACCCTGCAAGTGGGCATATGTACAGCTCAATGCAGCCAAGTCCTGCTGCTACATTGCTACTGGATTAAAGGGGTCAAGACATGCAACAAAGTGAAGCATTACAGATTCTAAACTACAAGTAATTTCTGCATTTGAATATCAGGCATGTACATATAACCCTTTCCACATTTAAGTTTACAGAAAACACTTTATAGTTTAGACAAACGCCACAGGAAACATCTTAGAAATGTCACATGTTTGCCAAGTATGTCTGAATAATGCCAACATAAGAGGTGCTTTTGCAAGGTCTACATTCTCCAGAAACAAAATAAAATAAAATAAGCACATGAATTTGGGGTTGAGGTTGGAATAGGAGACAGTTTCAGACCTGGTTTAATCCTGAGAAAGATGGGTCCTGAGAAGTACTAACAGTCATGCTTCTTTTCCTCTTCCCCACTGGAGATTCTAAACACTGAACAAACAATAGAGGGTGGCAGTGCATCAAACAGTATTGCTTACATTGCAACAATGGCTGGCGCAGACAGGCAACACCAAGGCGTTAGAGAAAGAACAGGGTAGCCAAATGCCATCCTTCTTCCACCAAGCACTAGAGTCTTCCAAAATAGTTAATTTTTTAAGAGACAGAATTTGAAAGATGTGGCAAGATAAATTTTGAATACGAGCCACTCCATAATGGCACTGCCTTAAACAGGGATAGTAATGGTGACATTTGGCTCTATCCAAAAAAAGAAAAAAAAAAAGAAAAAAAGAGGAAATTGAAGCTTTGCTTACAAAAGCATTCTTTGGTACCACAAACTGCCCTTCCCCAAAAGACATTCAGAAAAAGTAAATCTTCAGTAAGGAAGAGGTAGAAGGCATTTAGTCACCTTAAAGTTTACTTTCATAAGCATGCAGGGCTTATTTCTAGCAGAGCTGAAAGTTCACCTTTTAAGGTTGGAGCAAACTTTCTCCCAAGTATCCAATTGAGAATAATTTGAAAAATTGATCAGTTAAATATAAATCATGACTACATTTTTTAAAAAAATATAATGTGTTTATAATTGACAGGAAGCTACTGGAACAAGATTACCATGGCATCCTACTCTCTGTGACTGGCATGTCCTTAAGTAGTGTGTATAGGACATTAAATATGTGGCTGCACTTAACTACAAAGAAAAGGAACAACCCACTATCCTATGTGGAAGCAAGTGTTTTAAAAACAGTAGCCACTAATCCAAAATTGAAGCAAAATGTCCATTTTGAATTTTGCTTGGGTAAACTAGCAATTTTACATGTCCACATCAAGAACTGTCTAACTTACTAATTTTGAGTTAGTATAACTCATGCCTGCAATAGGATTTTACACCACCATTTCATGGTGAAGTTCCTTAACACAAATAGCAAAGTGGCATTAACTAAAATTCATGGTTTTCCACTCAGCTGATGTGACTAACACACTCATCCAATAAAATGAGCACAGTAGTGTATTTGAGGCCATTATTCCATATAAAAGTAAAACAAGGAGCTAAGGTGCCAACCCAGCATGACGGTGTAAAAGTGGGGAAAACGGCCAAAAATGGAAGTCAGAAATCAGAGACTGAAACCAGTAAATAAATTAAAACAAGCCATTTTAATTTCTTCTAATTACATTGCCAGGTCTTGCTAGAAAGTTAAAGAACCTGACTGCTTTATAGCAGAGAAAAATAGAGCTCTATAGAGTAAAGTATGAAACTTGGGAATGAGCAAGATTTAACAGCAACAGGATTACATGAAGACTTTACCTTTCAATTTGACTGTTACAAACTTTTCCAACAAAAACAGTTTAATCTCAATGTTCATTGTGCACTGCACCCCTTCAGACAGAACTTTGATGTTTCTCATGTTAGCAACCAATTTTGTTTCTAATGTTAATGGCTTCAAGTTGGCATTCATACAGGCAAACAAAGGTAAACATTTTATAGCTAACAGTGCTCAAAGATAGTAAACATCCTCAGATAGCATATAAAGAACAGAAGTGGGAATCTTGCTTCCAATAAAAAGCTTAATTGTGTACATTTGTCCTGAAGTTAAAAATTTCTATTAAGTAGCATGCTTAATGCATTGCCAATGCTGCCTGTCTGCCCGAGCTCAACATAACAATTGAAAATTGTGGGGGAGGGGGGAAAAAAAACAAACAAAAAAACCAAGACACATTTCACTCAACAGAACTAGTCATTGAAAACAGCATGCACCTCTGGCTAAATTAACCCCCCAACTCACAAGTTTCAAATTAGCATCTAGGAGTCCCCCAATTTAACTTAAAGTATTTAAGATCCAGTAAGGTTAGTTTTCATATATAATCTTTAAGCATTCAAAACTAATCATCTATATCTTAGTGTTCTCCATCTTGACAGATTTGCTGAATTCAGTTACAAATACATTTTAAATCAACAATACTACCATCTGTAGGCTGACAGTTACTTTTGTATGCTTAATCCTCAAGACTGAAGGTTCCATTACCAATCACTGCTAATTTTTAACACATTGGTGACAGGTAGGTCAGGAGCTCCTATGTATTTTACATCAAGAAAGCAGTCTGGAGCCATGAGAAGATGTTATTTTACATTCAGGAAAAAATGCTAATCTGATATTCACTAACTTTGAATGATGAAATACCATAGTTGAACAGAGCATGCTTAGATAGTTCACTTAGTTTACACTACAGATTTTTATGTTTAAAAACAATCCTTTCGTTAAGTCCTCATTGCAGGGTAGGTCAAAGGCCCATAGGTCCATGTCATTACATTTATCAATACAGGTAAGGAAATCCCAACCCCTGACATCAAAGAAACTAGATTTAGTATCTTTAGCATATCCATTTCAGCAATGGCAAACAGTTAACTCAAGCTGAAAAGATTTTGAAAAAAGCTAAGTGTGTATCAGAACCATTCTAAAAAGCATTACCCTCCTTGTTCTTTCATGCAAAGAGCATTAGACTAACCTTATTACAGTGACGCCCGATACCCATTAGGAAGTTATCTGGTTTAATGTCTCTGTGTATAAAATTCTTTGTATGCACATATTCAATTCTACTGATCATCTGTAAATACAAGAACATTTAATCAGAATTTAGCATCAGAAAAAGCTACAGATCCAAATATTAGAAAAAAAGTACAGTGTTTTAGTTAATTTTCCTCAGGAATGAGTTACAAACTGTACTTAACACAAATACACTTTAAGAAGTACTCACAAAGTAGATTTATCAAGTGAGGCAACAAACTGAAGATAATCTGACCGAAAGTACAGGTAAAAGTCTCAAATGTTTCACTCTAAGTAGCACAAGTAATATTCATAATTGATTTGTTCACTCATTTAAAAACCTAAAGCAAACAGACTGTTTTAGAAACCTTTTCCTGATAATGAGCTGGTTCCTAATTACAGTAACAGTTTGGCTAAAAGGCATCTGAGATGTAACATTCTGGTTATTGCCATTTGTTGGGCAATACTACTAGAGCATTAGGCAAGGTCTATGCTACAGGGATCACTGGGTTTTAGATACAATGTCATTACTATGCTAGGATAACCTATATGCAGAAACAACCTACAGGAATGGTAGGGGTTTTTCCCCCATTGCTGTACGGCACATCTCAAGCAATGGAAGCTATGCCAAAGGAAGCGTGCTTTCATCAACCTAGCTCTGCACCTACCCTAGAGGGTTAGGTTAACATAGCTATTATGCTCGGGCGTGTGGATTTCACACCAAGTGCCACAGCTATGTTAATTCAAGTTTTAAGTGCAGACCAGGAGTTAGTGGAATGTATCCCAATGGCCATCTTTAAACTTACTATACTAAAGTTTCTGAGGTGTAGCCTTGTTAGTCTAATTGTAAAAAAAACCCCTCCAAAAAAAAAAACCACAAAAAACCCACACCACCACCACCCTCTTCCCTCCCTCCCTCCCCCAAGCAGTCCTCAATACATTTGTTAGTCTCTAACATGCCACAGAACTGTTAGATTTTTTTTTGTACTAAAAAATTCTAAATCCTAACCAGTCATGCATTTAAAGGCATTCCTCATGTTCTCAAGGAATCAAAACCTAACTATTTAGGAAATAACCTTTCCTTTTTACAATTAAAGATGCTGTTACCACAGCAGTCAAAAAAAGGGCTCTCCCTCTGAAAAATGAGCATCAGTGACTAAAAGCAGCTGAAAACAAGGACAATTGACACCTATCTCCACTCAAAGGTTCTAAGCTCCTTGGCTAACCACCTGGGATTTCATGACCATTTGGCAAAGTGACAGCTGCTACTAACATCAGTTGGATAATCTCAGATAATTTTCACTTATATTTAGGGCCATCTAACCCCTGGCACTCAGGGCACCAAATCTGTCACAGCCCAAGCAACGTAGTGGTTCTAATTTAAGTGTCAACCAAATTCTATTACAAAACATTTTATGCCTAAATATAGAGGTGAGCAAAGAAAAGCTAGCCATGTCTAAGATACTAACCATTACAGTAAAAGCTCAGCTCCAGAGAGCTGAATTAAGAGAAAGGTTTGGCATTCATGCTTGTGCCTAAAGGACAGCAGTCATCCCCAAACCATTCAGTTCAAAGAAGGATGTAGCAGATATAATTTGATATGTAGTAGCAGGGCTTGACAGAAAAGTCTGTGTACAGCCTGCCAACAATATGCTTGGCTGAAGCCTATTAATGCTTCACTTAAACTGACCCAAATTTTTGACAAATGCTTTTTACGGTTACAAATACTTAACTTTATTTTACTTACAGATAAGAGCATAACTGTATAAGATTAACATTAGCATGGGTAGAATACTAATATTTGTGTTGCATTCTTAGTTCTCTGCAATACTAATCTTAGGTTTGACTACCACAAACCTGCCACTATCACAGTTCCTTTTTGTTTCTGTGTGGGTCAAATATTCATTCACTTGATCTTATGGAATACTGAGCAGCACATAATCTAACCTATTTAGGAAGAGCAGTATCGCTTCATCCTAAGTATCTTTACAATGTGAATTTAAATTTTACATACCTGGTCTGCTAACATAAGTACTGTTTTCATTGTGAACCTGCGGGAACAGAAGTTGAAGAGGTCTTCAAGGCTGGGTCCCAGAAGATCCATAACTAGAACATTGTAATCCTTCTCTTGACCATACCACCTGCAATGAAGCAGATATGTCTAAATTACCAAACAATCTGCAGTATTAACAAAGAGGTAACCAGTTAATATTTAAATTCTAATAGGAAGCCAAGTAATACTATGTCTTCCCACTTAAAAAATTTAAGATTGTTGAGGCACAAACCCATTGCTTATGTAAAAATCCAATTAACTAGGCAGTTTTACAAAGTGTTTAGTATTTATAAGCAAGCCTTGGCTACCACTAGACATGGAGGGTTTTGTGAGGATAATTTACTTTGATGTAGATTAGTGGTGATGATCCGTTTCTTTTATAATATTCATTTTGTTTAGGCCCTAACTATATCAGATCCATTTTGGTCTTTCTGCCACCAATTTCCAGAAAACAGTGCAGAATGTTGACCTTCAGATTAAGGATGTTTAGTATGGGGTAACTGACTAATTGAACAGTTGATGCATTTTGCATCAACTATTCGATTAATCAATAGGACGCCTCCGCCTTTGAAGAGTAGGTGACAGGGAGCGACTAGTCCTTCACATTCCTACTTCATATATGCTAACTTCCATTGTCATTAGCCTCCAAAAACACTTACTAGAAACAATCCACTGATTGTTGGCCTTTACAAATAAAATAAATCAAGACAAATACAAATAAAATAATTAAAACAACTGTAAGAAGCTGTTTACCTTTTAGGTTTCAGTTTCCTTTTCAAAAAGGGAATTGTTTTCATTATAGATATTGCTACTTATACAATCTAAAAGAGTCAAAAGTTATCCAACACTGTCCATAGTAAGTCCATAGTAAGTTAAATTTCAGTGAAGTTATAAGTATCTAAAATTTGGCCAAGTTATAAGCTTTTGAATCTCAGCACCTACAGTTTTGGAACTACATTCTCCAAAGATTCTCTTCAATGGGTATGCTCCAGTCCAACGGCACAGGAGCAGAGCAGACTTTCCGGCTATTGTTCTTTACATCTGGTAGGAGCCACTGTTGCAACATGCATTGGGAACTGAATTTCCCATTTTCTCTGACTGCAGCTAGGCAAGAGGAGGAGGAACAATTTGACTAGAATGGAGAAGGATGAGGAGCTGGGAGGGAGGTGAGGAGAAGAGGCAGAGACAAGCTGGATGTGTTAGGGCAGAAGTGTCAGAAGCCAATCGAGAATACTTCAAAACCTAGAATATAACCCAGAATTTCATAGTCCACATTCTTTTGATGTCAAATAGCAGTGAAGCATACTGAAAATACATCTCATCCTGCAATCCAAACATTTTTTAAAGCCCACAGTGATGAGATTTGTTTAAATACAAATTAGACAAATGTGTCAGGGATGGTGGAGAACAGATCATCTTCACCTGGGGATGGGGTCCAACTTTTAGGATATATGACAAGCCTTCTAATAATTCAGTAACTTTAGTAAGTGTTATGGATGTAAAATCCCATTTAATTGGTAAACTAGTTAAGCATATTGTTTAACTGGTTAGCTGATTAAAGGGATACCTGGCAGGGTACCTAGCTGGCTCTCTCCTCCACCACAGGCAACACTTACTGATTAAGATAAACTGGTGGAGGCTGGAGCAGCTCCCCACCTGCCATGGTCATCTGGAGCAACCCATGTTCACAGAGGGCCCAGGCACCCCACAGGCGAAGGCTGTTCCAACTGGGATGCCAGAGCACCCTACTTACAAGGGTGCCCTGGCCTGCTGTAGGCAGGGGCCAGTTAAATAATAGGTTTGAGCAGTTAGTTAATTAAATGGGATTTAACATCTCTATGCAGCGGATCCCTCAATGGGCTGGAGCAGCCCCCTACCCGCACCAGGTGGGGAGCTGCTCAAGCCTCCACCGGTTAAACTTAACCAATGGTGAGGATTATCGCTTAACCGGTGAAACATCAATTGGTCAATCCCTAATAAACGTAAGGGATATAGGGCAAAGCACCAGTATGCAGTGTCACTCATTCAAACAATTTTAGGTGTAAGAAATGTATGGTAAGGTGTGAGAGAGTGGGAGCAGGGGATTAAAACAAAAGTTGAGAACTCTGATATAGGTGTACTTGGTCCTGACTCCGCACAGGAGGGCTGTATTAGATGACTTCAAGATCCCTTCTAAGCCCTACATTTTTATTATAAAACTTAACACAGGAAATAAACACACTAACAATGGAGCTAATGGACTAGTTCGCACTAAAAACCTGCTTAATTGCTTAAGAAATAAGGGATGTATATTTAGAGGGATCAAGCATTTGGGCAGATCTTGCATAGAACTTGTTTCCTAACTTCTTTAAAAGGCATTTAAATCCCTCCAGTCAACCAACCAACCTACATTCTATGAACAGATGATTCACTATAATAGCTCCATTTCACTTCTGCCCAAATGTTTTTCACAAAGTGCTTAGGTTTACTTCAAGTGTAGAAACTAAGTACTAATTTCAGCCATTTTTTATTTAAATGGAGCACCAGGGGCAACAGAGTCACTGGTCAGGGGGAGGAGAGTGGTAGCAGAGTCTGTCACTGCCAGGAGGGCAGAAGCACACCCACTGGGGCCATAGGAGAGGTGAGTGCAGAGCCACGGGGAGGAGCACAAAGCCTCCCCCTTCCGCCCCTCTCCCCTGCCTGTAGCAGCAGAGCAGGTCAGTGGAGCATCCAACTCCAGGGAGGCGGGGGGGAGAGACCACAACAGGGCTGGTTGATGAGTCCACCAGCAGCATAGCTGCTTAGTGCAGTGCAAAGCCCCAGGTGGCAGCAGGGTGCTGGGGGAAACACAAAGACACCAGGCAGTAGATGAGCCCCGGGCAGCAGCACTGTGGGGAGAGCAGAGCCCTGGTGGTAGTGGAGCTCCCTGGGGAAAAAAAGAGCCCCTACCAAATTGACCTTCCCTAGTCCAGCAAATTCCCTAGTTCAGGACCACTCAGCCTGGGGGTGGAGGAGCACACAAAGTTTCCTCTGCTCTGACCCCACCCTGTGAGGAGCATGTGGCACTTAGAAGTGCCATGCACTCCTGGCAAAGCCAGAGAAGACTGTGTGCTCCACCACCCTCAGGCCCTCATTGGCCTATGGACAGGGGAGCACGCAAAGCCTCCTCTCATCCTGCCAGGACTGCGGAGCACTTTTAATTGCCATGCAGGGTGGGGGCAGAGCAAGGAAACTTTGCATGCTCCCCCAGCCCCAGGCCCTGATTGGCCTGGGTGAGCATGAGACATCTCCTCCCAGCCAGGGGCATGGGCACCTAGTGGGGGAGTGGGGAAAAGCAGGCAGGCAAAGGTGTTTCCCCATCCCCAGACCAATCATGTTCTGGGTGTGGAAAACCCAGAAGTATCCTGATCCCACCACTTCTACTCAAGGGCCCGCCCCTTCCGGAACTGCCCAGTGCTACTTCAGAAATTTTTTAAGTGGCACCCGCCAAAAAATTATTGCCCACCCCTGAACTAAACCCTCTCATACCCAATTCTAAAATAAAAGATTTCAGTATTTATCAAAGGTTTTTAACAGGCTTTTAATATTTAGCATCACACATCCTAAAGCAAAGCTTGTTGTGCAATGGCTTAAGAGCCATTTATGATGGAAACTGCTGTATTATTTTACCACCTCTTCAATTTATTAGGGTAGGTCTACACTATACCGCAGTAAATCAACCTAAGATACACAACTCCAGCTACGTGCATAATGCACCTTAGGTTGAGTTACTGAAGTGTCTACATCATGTGGGATCAACAGGTGAACCGCCCCCTCTCCCTCCCATCAACATAAGGTAAGTTTGCAGGGGTCAACTGGAGAGCAATCTGCAGTTGACCTGGTTGGTCTTCACTAGACCTGCTAAATTGATCGTTGATGCATCAATCTCCACTCTTTTGATCTTGGCTGTACTATAGATGTAGACTTAAACTGTTACATGCCCAAAATAATTCCTGTTTATTCACTTAATCAGTTATTTGAAAAGTGTTGTTTCATATCTCCTTTGTCATTCATCATTTGCCTTTGCTCAACTGCTCCATTTTCCTATAACATTTCCACAAAGACCTGGATTAAAAAAAAATTAACTTAGATCTTGTCCATTCAAGGTCTGACAGATGCTACTATTGGTAACTAACGTTAAGGAACGTAGAACTTGGCTCTCACATGTAAGCCCTTTGAAAACATACTTATGTAAAAAGATCTGGCAAGTAGTCTAGTTTATTTTATACTTCCATATTGATTTAACGAACATTAGCTGGCATATAAAAGGACAATATTACTCAGACTTAAAATCAGCATTGCCATTTGTGTTATGAGAAAATTAGATTTTTACTAGAAAGAGTGGCAGGCCCTTTTTCTTAATACATTAGGCTCTCTGGCCACAAACAGGCCCCAGATCTACATATACAGGCAGTCCCCGACTTATGTCGGATCCGCACTTACGAACGGGGCTCTCTCGCCCCGGAGGTCGAGGTAGCGGATTGCTACCTGCGAGCTCCGGGGGAGAAAGCCCCATTCGTAAGCTGCTCGGGTGCCCCTGGTCTGCTGGAGACCGTCTCCAGCGGACCAGGGGCACCGGGCGGGTTCCCGCGCTTCTGAGGCTTTGCCAGAGCAAAGCC